GCAAAATTTGGGTCATGTATATATATGATACATAATTTAAATGTGTTAGGGTCATTATTTATTAAGCCAAATAATAAAGTGATCTGACTAAATTAAAGTTTTGGCTAAAGGCATATGTCATGAAAACAAAATTGTGTAGAGACCATTGAGAAATTTCTAATTTGATGAGGGGCCAAATTGGAAATACTAAAACTTAAGTAATTAACCTAATTCTGGTTATCTAAAGGGTCATGGTCCCCTTCTGGGAACACACACACAGAACGTAAATATCAGTCCCGTTCCTTTCTTTCTATCCCCATCAAGAGAGAAAATCAAGAGGGAAATACAGGTGCTCTTCAGGTGGAAGACCATAAGATCAATATAGTGCTCTACAAAGACATCATCGTTATGGCTAATTCAGGTACGCTTTCGCATTCAGTTTACAGCATGTTTATCAGTATGGGATTATGTTTATGTTTGATCATGTTTATCAGTATGGGATTATGTTTATGTTTAATCGTTAGAATCAAAATCAGGATTATTATTATTATTATTATTAATTTTCCAACAATTCTCACTTCCCATGTCGTTGTAGATCCTCTCACTTTCCCTCACTCATTTACACAAACTCTCAATTATTCAAACCTTAAACACATTCATGACCCTATTCCTTTCTTCCTACAATTTTAATGTGACGTGACAAATCTGGCACGTAACTATAATCAATCATCTAACCATATATGAAGTGATACTCCAACTAGGCATCTAATATAACAGAGTCAAAAACATACATAACGGTAGTGCAAAATTGACATCAATTCAATATTTATGTCTAAATTGAAAATTTTAAAATTTTTGGGACCACATTGAAACATTTTAATAAATAAAGGGACTAAATTACGTACTATTAATATTTAAATATTACGAACACATTTAAGGATATTTTTCTTTAAAATTGGGAAACATGATCTTCATCAAAGTTGTAGTCCTTGGTGTTAAATTTAATTAACTAGTGGCATTGAGTTCACGTAATAATATTTTATATAATCCAAGATATAATAATTTTAATAATTAAAGGTCATACTTGTTATTATTAGAATAAAATTTATATTTTCACTACTACAGAATATTTTCAGTTGGTTAAAAAACGACATTGAAAGTTGAACACATTCTAATTAGTTTTTAATCAACCGATGTAAAAAGTGTTTTTTATTTTTTTTAACAAAAAATTCGTTTAAGTTAAAGAATTGTCACTGGCAAAATTCAAACCTAATATCTTAGAGTTGAAGGTTAATACTCCAACACTAAACTACTAGAATTATCTAATAATAACTTACAAATAAATTATATTTATATACAAATAAATATATATCCGTGTAAATATATAAATATAAAATATATAAATACAAATATATTTATATATTTTGATATATTTATATATATTTATATGTTGGATGTGAAGGCGCGCTCCAGGGTGAAAATAGGATTGACTCTCACTTGAGTGAAAATACGTTAAAGCTGACGAAAATTTACTCGCTCAAGAAAAATATCTCGCTTGAGCAAAAATTGGTATTTTTCGCTTGAGCAAATGACACATTTCCCAAAATTATTTTATATCATTATATAAATAAATTACAAAGATTATATTCTGTCATTAAATTACAAACTCATATAAAGATACTCGCTCACAAATTTAGCATCAAATTTTGAAAACTCACTCGACACACACTTTCACCTTCGAGCATGCTCTCACATCCAACATATAAATATATAGAATCGATGTTAAATACCTTCCATAACCGACGTAAAATGCTTTATCTGTAGTAGTGTTTCTTTACTTTAGACTAGTAAACTATTGAACTAGATTTTGATATCAAAATATAAGTTGTAAATAATTGTATTAGTTTTAAAACAACATCAAAATCAATATCATATTATCAGTATAACTATAAATATCGCTCTTATATCGAACAAAGGTCATGAAAATACAAGAGAAAGTGAGTAAGATATTACGCAAGACTTAAGATATATAATAATAATTTTTTTACATATAAACCTTATATGTATATGTACGAAGGTATATCTTGATATGTGTGATAATGAATTATTTATCTAAATAAGGTGTTATACTATTAGGATTTGTGTTTTATTTTGAAAAACTTTTAATTTGTGCTTAGGGTATTGATGAGAAGTCTAAGCAATTGTTAACAAGGTAAACAAATCTAAGTTATGCTTAACCATTTGAGATGTTTAAGTACTAACGTAATAATATGAAAAATTAAGTTTCGCATGCTTATTTAGAAGTTTAAGCAATAACTTAGTAATGTGAAAATTAAGTTATGCTTAGTCATTTAAAAGGGTTATGCATTAATGTGTACATATTTCATTTATTCATACTTTTTTGGAAGTGGATGCAATTTATGAATTAAGGACTTTATGATATTTTATCTTGACCTTGAGAATTTTAGAATAAGGGATCTTTTGTCTAAATAAGATAAGGGTTAACCACAATCAACTATAATATCCCGACTAACTCTTGTTAGACTCATTCTTATTGAGAGTGAATTGATATGATCATTGTGATCTAGTTCATGTACTCCTAGATAATATCAAAAGTGCGTGCACTATATGATACCACATATACATAGTGATAATTGATGAATGATCTCGAGATAGTCAAATAATACATTATTAATAAATAATAAATGAATATGAAAATACGAGAGGTAAAATTTGTAAAAATACAAGTAGATATAATTAATAATCATTAAGTTTATGATCAAAATAAGTTAGAAAATTTTGGGGGTCATAGCCTCTCACCTCACAAGAAACTCCACACTAAGCATTCATACATTTAGTTAAGTAAGTAAGTTTATGATTTAGTATAGATAAGTAAGGCGATGTTTGTGTGTGTCTATTTCTACTCAGTTGAATTAATTTAGTGAATTTATGATTGAGTATGTGTTGGTTAGTTTTTCCTAATATCTTATATGTGTCTACAATATATGAGATATATAATTTACTCTTTTATTTTTGTTTATGTTATTTGTCTGTACTGAACATCTATATGGGTGAACTAATTTTCAATAAAAAGGAATAAATGAATAATGAAACTAAGATATTCTTTTTACTATTATTTTATCGGATAATTCAATTATTTGTGACATAAGGATAAAAGGATCTTCAACTTATTTTATTTTAAGAAACTCTTTCAGAGTTTTATTAGTTAGAACTTCTAAATATCAATCGAGTGCCTACCATATTTTATTTTAAAATTTTATATATTTCTTATCTTTATGAATTTTATTTAAAAGAAGTGATATATATATATATATATATATATATATATATATATATATATATATAAATCAATTTATCTTTTATTTTTCACCTTTTATCAAGAAAAAAAAATTTTAGGATAGAAAAATATCAGAATAACTAGTCTACCAAAATATCAAATAACTCAAACAACGTAATAACTTCCAAAGGATTGTATTGAGTTAAAAATTTTGAAACTAACACTTAATACACTTCTATTGTATATTTGAGTTGAATTATCCATATGAAAATTCACTTATTTTTGGCCTTCCATCCAACTCATGTAGTAACCAATACGTTAGGGTATATCCTGGACCGTGGTATCCTACTGATATATGATACACTTATAATATATAATTATAATATAGAATGTTAGATTATCGAGTGTAAGCTCATCTAGATTGGATCTGAATCACGCTACCTAAATAAAAGAACCATTATAATTATGTTTTAGACAATTATTTTTTTCACAACATCAAAACAAGTTCAAATTCCTTCAACTTTTTAACTAGAACAAACACAAAACCACAAAACAAACAGATTATTTAACTAAAATTAACACATTTTCAAAACCAACTGAAAATTAAGTTAAGAAAAATATTTTTTTAATAAAAAAATTATGCTAAGTAAAGTCCAGTATATCAAACAGGTTAAATAGAAATTTTATTCAAAATTAAGTTAATAAAAATGTCTCTGATGAGTTGAACAAAATTGAATTTATTGGATAAATAACACAAGGAACAGTGTACAAAACTCAAAATCTTCCCCCAAATCTCCAACCTTCCATTTTCAATACAATTTACAACTCACAAATTGCTCAAGTCATCCATTAACATCAACAAAGCCATCTTGGTTATTCAATACATGATTCATAATTTCTATCAAATGGATTACCAAATTCACAAGCATGTCTTTTTTTGTTTCAAAAACTTTTAGGAAGAATGATTCAATCAACTTCCTTTTTCAGTCCGGTGATAATGTTCCCTGTCATAAAAGGAGAGCAACACAAGTGAGAAACACTGAATCAGTTCCTGCTTGCAACAATCACCCCATGATAATGATTTTAGAATAGAATTCTTTACAAATGACAACACAATTCGTCCATGGCCAGAATTTCGTCATATATTCTATCTCAATGAATATTTCACTTCCCTGGGACTAGTGTTGAACACCCATCCTTTGTCTCATTATTGGTATAGACAAGTATTCGTATTGTTTGTACACCACATCAGTATGTATGATATAATCGTATATGGACATTCCCATTGAACTTCTCTTTTTCATTACTTGAAGACATTATACTCACAATTATCTTCCATATTTACATTTGATGAATATTAGAAATATAATATCTGAATCACTTTTTTAAGCATACTATTCTATTATTATTAAATGAAATTTACGTGCCTTATGGGATTTTCTTAAAATTTTAACCGAATGAAATGATTTGTCACGCAGAGAAGCTTTCAAACTAAAAGGTTTTTCAATTTTGAGTTTATTCGGATCAAACTGAATAAAACAACCGGAAAATAGTAAATTCTGCCTCATGTATCAATTGCCTGTAAATAAAACTGCTATTCTTAATATCAAAAAAGGAAATGATGTTAACTTCCAGCCTTCGTAAGATTGCAGCAACCAAAGAAGGCTGATGAGCAGGGAATAAGCATCAAAGAACGTTTGTGCTGCACCACCAACTCATAGGCTCATAGCTGCTGATTAAGATACGCATCTTTGGGAGTTCTGGGGGACATCATCATCTCAGTTACATTTTCAGAAACGTTCTTCAGCCAAGAGGTGCTTCGCGTTAACCAGCCATTTTCTCCTGGTTCTTGCAATTCCTGTGTGTTTTTTCTTTCTTCCTCCGCCAATATATCAATCCATCTCTGAGACATGAAGCTCTTCACGGCTTGGACCCCTTGATCCACAATATCCTTGGGTGGCACTTCAAGAGGATTCTGATCCAGTTTTAGCTTGGTCAAGTTATGAAGGCGACCAAAAGAATCAGGAAGTGCATGAATTTGGTTGTTGCTGAGATCCAATTCCCTGAGGTTAATCAAATCACCAAATGTCTCTGGAAGTTCTTGAAGGTCACTGAAGTTACTGCTCAGGTTTAGAACTTGAAGATTAGTCAATTTCCCAATTGCAATAGGAAGCCCGCGCAGCTCGTTAAAGTGAGCATCCAGATAGCGCAAGGATTTCATCTCACAAACAGATGAGGGAAGAGATCGAATCTTGTTCAATTGAATCATGAGCTTTTGTAAATTATGCAACTCATATCCAATGTTTGTTGGCAAATACGTCAGGGTGTTAAAGCTTGCATCTAGCTCCACCAATGAGCTGATCATATAATATAAATATGGTTCCATCAGTAATAGAAAAAGCAGCAGCAGTTTGGACCCATGTGCATAAACAAAAAATGGTAATAAAAGTCTGAGATTCTCCAAAATACGCGGAGAATTTTACACGTTGCAAGATGTAGAAATGACATATTTCAGAAATGATGTAGATATTCAAGACTTTCTTTAAAATTCAACAAATTTAAACCAGAAACAGTTTTGCCCTTACGCCGTTGCATGTTTAACAATTTCCTCCAACATTCACTAATCCAGGTATAGCTTTCAAAATAGACACAATCATTACAACAGAGCTGCCATTCCGATTTAGCTACAATGTTAACCATCTTAAAACAAATAGCTGTCATAATGTCGGAGATAAATTTTACTGGGAAGTCAAACCAAACCACAATTATTAACAACTTGACACACTGAAAACCGGAGTAAGTAGTGTCCGAGAATGTAAAAACTTATACATCGTTCAATCACAAACATATGTTTTTATAATAATTACGTTAATTGATTCAGTGTACAAAAAAAAAATGTAAAATATACAGTGCTCTTTCTCGCATTACCTGCACTTACTAATGGAATCCGGAAGAGCAGTAAGCTTGTTTCCGGACACATTGAGGACTTTCAACTTCTGCAACGAGCCAATTGAATCTGGCAGCGACTCCAAAACATTGGAAGAGAGATTAAACTCCTCCAGATTTTCCAATTTAGATATGGAATCAGGAATCACCTGTGGTGCAGCACAGAATTCTCCAACATATATACATGTGCGTCAAATCAAAATATACAAGAACTACAGGCTAAGTAAATCAGGAGAATTATGGATCTGTGAGGTAATAACGAATTAGAAAGGGGTTGTGAAAAAATGGCGCGTAATTACCGAAAGTTGATTGGTGGAGACGTCGAGGACGACCATTGCAGGAATGTGGCTAAGTGCTTCAGGCAGGACTTTGAGCCGCTTCCCGGAAAGAGCCACTCGCTCCACCCCTTTTCCGTCGGCCTCTTGCAAAATCCCCTCAACCTGCTCTTTCACTTGGGTACCGTCATTGTCTTCATCGTTTTCGTTGTTTTCGTAATCGGCGCCGTGGTCCTCGTAAATCTTGACCAAGCGCTTCTCAGCGTCCTTGAGGAGTTTCCCGTAGGCTTCGTGCATGTTGTCGAGCTGAATGAGGGATTTGTGAATGCGCTTCTCTTTCTCCGCGGATTCCTTGACGGCCTTCTCCTTCTCCGCGAGATGGGCCGACCAGCGGGCCTCATTGATCTCGGGGGGCCTGGGGACGCCCACGATCTCTTCTAGTTGCCGGGACAGGTGGGCTTCGAGGTCCGCCATCTTGGCCTTGGCCTGGTCGACCTCTTCGTGGGTGGGCCGGGGCCCGAGGACCTTGAGGACGGATCGAGCCTGGGAGACGTCGGAGATGGCGCGGGTCATGGAGGCCAGCATTGCCGGGTCGGCGAGATTGGGCATTTGACCCACGATGGAGGAAGAGGAAGAAGGGTCGGAGGTAGATGGCCCTTCGATATCGACGTGGTGGGAATGGGAAGTGGAGGCTGTCGCGGAGGAGGAGGTGGGGGTTCTGGGCCCGAAGGAAGGGAGACGGGACATGACGTAGGAAAGAACGGGGAAGGTTCCTGGGTGGGGATCCATGGTGGCGGCAATGGAACGGAGGGATCAACTGACAAACCAAAATGTGAATCAATGTGTTATGGTAGATGAAACTCCACACCTGGGATTTAGAATAGGACGTTGAGTTAGTTAGTTAGTTATGTTCTTTGAATGCGTGGGACAAAATCACTCACTCTGTTTGTTTTGCTCAATACCATCTAACAACTAAATAGGAAGGAGAGAGATGAGATAAAAGGATTAGATTATGAATAAAAGAAAAATGTAAGCTATTTTTGGAGAATTTATAAAAAAAATATATGTTAAATTCTAAAATGAAGGGAAACAAAGTATAAACTATTTAATTTTTAAAATAATAAATAATTTTATGTTAAGAAAAAAAAACATATTTTAACTATTATAATTTTCATATAATTTTTTTTATTCACCCAAACCATTAATGTCCACCTTCTGTATATATATATATATAAATAATTTTTTGTCTATCCAAATAATATCTCTTATTTTATTTTTTATCTTTTTAATTCATCCAAACAAAACATAAAATAGATTTGTTTAAACGTTGGAGAAGCTGGGTAAGTGGGACCCGGACCCACTGGTCTCATTGGACCATGCTAATTCTAAGGTTGCATATAATATACAGTTTATAACTGCATAAATCCAAAGTGAAAAATAAAATAACCGTTTAGTTTTTAAAAAAATATCCACAGTTTTTTTTTTAATAATGTAACTGGATCAAGCTACACTATTTATTAAGATGATTTTATTTTTAATATGTTTTGTAATGGTAGAATTTTACAATTAAGTTTTAGTTTTAAATTTTTTGTCTATTCAATTTTATTTTATTTTTCAAATTCAAATATAACGGTATAGTAGCGATTACAATTTTTAAAAAGAGGCTATCAATTATCAACTATTACGATATAGGTATTATTTTATTCCATTTGTATATTATGCTTAATTTTTTTTTCTCATTTTATTACTATCATTTATTATTATTATTATTATTATTATTATTATTATTATTATTATTATTATTTATTATTATTATTATTATTATTATTATTATTATTATTATTATTATTATTATTACATCCAACCAAATAAATTTTAGTGCAATAAAATTTTCAATTTTTAGTATAATAAAAAAAAAAAAACGATCTATCTTCATACAATAGATACGATTAAATGTCTAGGTAGAAACTGTAACCTGTATAATATTATTGATGTAACAAATAATAAAAATGATCAAATATACTTTTTAGTATAATTAATTAAAGCTATGTCGGTTAAATTCTTACTTAAATTTGGTAAAGTTGTTACTAATTATTTAGTTAAAAACTTTATTATAAATTATAATATATGAAATATATGTACGTTAACAAAATATATATATATATATATATATATATATATATATTATATATAATAATTATATTTTTTTCATTTCATTAGTGGATGAAAAATTATCTGAAATCGCATTGATATCTAATGCTTTCTTTACTGAAATTAAATTTATTTTTTGTTGGCTTTTTTTTTTAATCTACCTTAATAATCCGTTCAATGTCTTATCCTGTCTATATAGAAATTATGAAAAATATGATAAATTAGGATAAAAAAATTCAGAAAATTATAAATGAAAATATAGCTTAACTTCAAATAAAATATATTACATATATCCCGTAACGATTTCAACCAGCCAAAATAAATGTATCATATATATTTACATAATTTATATAAATATATAATTTAAAATATAAATTATTTCCTAATAAAAAAATATATATATATATATATATATATATAGTTTATTTTTACTTGGGTGTATCACATGTATTATTTATTTTTATATAAATATATTATCATGATTTAAAAACAACATATAAAATATATAACAATTTTTTTTCTAATTTTAGAGATTTTATGTTATATTTGTATTAATTATTTTTTATCTTAATTTTCTATTAGGAGAATAGTTCTCGAAAGTAAATACATTATATTTTCATGACTTTTTTTCGTGAGAAATAAACATTTTACCAAATGGTTTCTTAATCAGAATTCAAATTTATTTTACCTAATCAATATATTTTAAATTGCATAACAATCAATTTAAATAAACTTTAATACTTCATATATTTCCGTACATTATACGGCAAAAATAAATAAATCATTAAGTTAAAACTATTAAAAGAAATAAAATATAATAGTTAATGTCAGTTTGATTATCTCCATGAACTAAATGTTTCTACTTTTATAAAAAAAAAGAAAAAAAAGAGCATATGTTCTTATTTGTTTTATATGAAAAACTAATTTATTTCCATGCGCCCATATGTTACCTTATAATTTAAATTCAAAAGAATTATTAATGAAGAGATATCGTGTTATACATTTTTGTGAAGAATAATAATAAGAAAATAATTTGAAATCATTATTGAAAGTATTTTGATTTCAATTTGAAAACATTCACAAAAATCATATAAAAAAAATAGTTAAGTTTAAATATTATTTGTACGCGTGTAAGGTTTTTATACATGTAATATATCGGATAATTCTTAATTTTATAATATATTAAAGATTAAAATTATCATATTTTAAAAGATTACTCATTAATAATAGTTAAAATTAGATAATATTTTTTATAAAAACTCATTGTAAATTAATAGATAACCTAAATTATGTTATGTTCATTCATTATATATTTATCTAATCAGTTATACTTTATTTGTATCTTTGTTGATACTCTATGGATCCTATCCTAAAAGTTGAAGAAAATAAAGAGAGGATAATTTATTGATCTTGTAAAAACATTATTACTTTTATTATTTAAAATAACTTGAGTTGTAAATAATACTTAGAACTTCAATTAAGTCATGAACTTAGCATAGAAAATAACTACACGAGCCATGAATTTGCATTGTTATTCATATGTGGAAAAAACAGTTGGTCGGGTTCAATTTTATAATGTCGTAATTCATATGCAACTAAACAATCGAATAGAAAGTTCCAAAATTGTTACTTCTTCTTCGTAATCAATTAAATGTTTTCAACCATTTAACCTGAATAATTAAATAAATAACATTTTAATGCATTTGATAATGTTCTCGTAATTAGTTATATTAGGCTTATATGGTTTAAGAACTAAAATTAATGGTAACCTGTACATATTTTTTTCTTAATCCATGTAAACATTTTAAAGGATAAAATCGTGACATACCAATAATTTTTTAAAAATTAATAAAATATCTAACTCAATAATATAAAGTAAATACCATTATTTATTTATAGCTAAAATGGAGAGTGATTTTAACTATGGTAAATTTATTAGTGTAATGATTCATTTTTTTAAAAATATTATTTAAATTTCATCTCCACATTATATAAACTTGAAATCGCCAATTTTGAACAGGGGATATGGTCCTTTTTATCACTTACATGTGCATTGTTTAGTTTTTTTTATTTCTCAGTTTTATGGCTAGACTTTTTGATTTTGGAGTTTGATAATTATGTGTCATTAATTAATATCACATGACTATTTATATGATTTTAACATAATTATGATAAATTTAATAAATTTATCGTACATTGGATGAAATATCAATTCATATTTTTTTCTTTTTTTTGTTTTATTACACAGTACAAATTAAGAAATCAAAAATTGAAGCACTAAATTATTATTTTTTATGACGTATTTCCAAGATTAAAAATTAAAAATAATATCATGACTTAGTTAGAACTAATTATGACATTTAAGGTACGTCTGTTGTCAAATTCTGCTTTATTATAATTTTATTTTAAAAAAATATCTCAATCAATTAAGAAAAATTTATTTATATAAAATATTTTTATTTTGACTATTTAATATTGTAAGACGGATGAACATATTTAAAGATAGTACTGATCCAGAACTAGAAAAATAAGATAAAATTGAATCAAATTTTTATTTTAACCCAAAAGATCAAATATTGTTACCAAAATATGATTATCTTCTCTCAATAAATCTATGAGAAGAAATATTTTAGGTAAAATGATTGAGAAATAAATAGAGATGTAAAAATAAATTTAGGTGGTCCAAAATATTTGAAAAATATATTAGATTAAATAAAAAAATTTATGACCTAAAAATTAGGTTTATTTTAGTTCGATTTATTTAGGTAGTGAATTATATAAGTTTAAGTCAGACTAATTTATACATTTATAAATCAACCTGTTTTATATTTAATAATAATTATTATTTGACAATTTATTCGATAAGGATTCACTTATTCTAATATTCAAGATCTAATAATTAAGATTAAATATTATTTTAAATTAATAATAATAATAATAATAATAATAATAATAATAAAACGTTTTTAATTATTATTTTGATATTTAATTGATGCATTTTCTATATTTAATTATTATATCTTAAACAAAAATTAATTTCATTAATAAAATTTAACTTATCAAATTATATTTTTATTTTTTATTTTTATTTAAATATTTTTTAATTAATTAATTTTGTATAGATATATTAATATTTTTTTTAAATCAATTAGACCAATCTATTAACCCATAGACCTAATATAAGGTCAATGCTAAAATCTTTGACACATTTTAAAACTTATATTAGACAAAGTCATCAAATATTTTTTACTTAATGTGTAGGGTCATATCAAACTAGGTTGGATGTCCATTTTGACAGTTTTACAAATATACTTTCTTCCTACACCTCCTTACTTTCTCCATGCACCTCCGTATACCAAGGAAAATAACTAAAATATTCTTTCAATAATTTTTGTTCAAAATCCTAATCATTTCATCTATTTTCCTGCTAAAGTTCTACACCTTCATAAATATACAATTTTGGTCACCTCCATTCAAGATTCTTTCCAACACTTAAATGAATAATCGTTAATATTATATTATATTATATTTTATTTTATATATATATATATATATATATATATATATATATATATATATATATATATATATATATATATATATATATATATATATATATATATATACATGTTTCTACA